GGTTGAGTAATTGCATTCTGCAGGGTTCAACGTACGACTTGCATATGCGATAGGAAGGTCAGAGCCGACAGGGCCTTGAGATAACACTGCTCCTATGGCATAATTTGATGCGTCAGTTGTTAAAAGAAAAGGTCGATTAAAATCGGGGTGTTGTAATACGGGATCATTTACCAGGATATTCTTGCATGTTTCAAAACTTTTTATAAATTCCACATCATGAATTATCTTCTTGTCCTTTTTCAAGCATACCGTCATTGGTTTCGTTAATTTAGCGAAATTCTTAATGAATTTTCGGTAGTAACCTACTAATCCTAAGAAAGATTTTATCTCTTTGACAGTTCTTGGAATTGAAAATTCCTTTATTGCCTTTATTTTGTTCGGATTAGGTTTTATACCGTTTGGCGTTATCACATGTCCTAGAAATTCTACTGTTCTTTGTAAAAATTCAGACTTATCGAGTTGAATTTTTAAATTATATTGTTGTAGTCTTTCAAATACTTGTTTGAGGATTTTCACATGTTCTTGAAGTGAAGTCGAAAATATGATGATGTCATCCATATATACAAGACATATTTTGTTTTGCAATCCAGATAACACATTATCCATCGCTCGTTGAAAGGTTGCTGGTGCATTTTTAAGTCCGAATGGCATTCGAGTAAACTCATAGTGTCCATATTCAACATTAAATGCCGTCTTAGGTATAGAGTTGGGATGCATCTCTACTTGATGGAATCCAGATGCGAGATCCAATGTTGTGAAATAATTGCTTCGTCCTAATTTATCCAGTAAATCTGAAATGTTCGGTATTGGGTACCTATCGTCAATAGTTTTCTCGTTGACTTTGCGATAATCCACTACCATTCTCCATTTCTGTATGCCAGAAGCATCTTTCTTTTTTGGCACTATCCATACTGGTGAGGACCATGGGCTGCACGAGGGTTGAATTATATGTTCATCCAACATTTTTTTTATTTGTTGGTTAATCTCGTTTTTATGTATATGAGGATACCTATAAGTTTTTGTATGGACGGGTATTTCATCTGACGTTCTGATTTCATGTTTAACCTGATTCGTGAAGGTTAACTTATCATCGGGTTTATGAAAAATCTCCGGAAACGCCCTTACTACAATCTGTAATGCATTTAATTCCTCTTTATTTAAATGCTGAGTACGTAAAAATTCTATTGGATTATTATCATATTCATGTGGGTAAAACGACGTTACTTGTTCTATATTAAATGTCTCAAAAGCTTCTTCATTATAAATAAAACTTGCTTCTGCTAGGTCATCTATATGCGTAGTAAGAACAAAAGGTTTATCTGTTAGATTATGCACTTCTAACAAAGCTGTTCCATTTATAACCTTAGCTATTGTTTCTGGTATCATGTATTTATCCGTTTTCACTTGAGGTATTAAAATCTCAGTATTTTCAAGGATGTCTGTATTAAAATGATAAAGTCGAATAGTTTTTGCTGAAATTTCTAAATTTTGGGTATCAAAGTCTGTTCTAAATTGAAATGGAATTGTTATTTCTTCATTACTAAGGCACATATTTGTAAAGTCAATATTTAAATTATTTTCTTGTAAAGCTTTAATTCCTATAATACCGTCAAAATAATCATGAAAATTATACATTATCATGTCAATATCCTGATCAATATTAAATTCATGTAAAATTGGAATTCTCACTTTACCATGGGCTTTTCTTGTTCCCATACATGTAGTAAGTTTATTTAAAGAGTTCACTATGAAATCTGGGAAGTATTCTTCCGCTATTGAAGGTCTTATTAATGAAGCATAACTACCTGTGTCTATTAAAAGCTTACAAGGTGGATCGAAAGTTTCAATAAAAGGTAGTTGATTGACTTGGTATGCATTTAAAGTCAATGCTGATTGTTGGATTCCAAGGCTAGTGTCTGAAAATTTTCATCAGGGCTTTCTTGGTAATCTTGACTTATTTGATCGTCATTTATTTCTGAGTTTTCGGGTATTTCTCCGAATTCTGAACTTTTATAGTTCTCAGAAGTTTCGTCTGGTTCTTGTAATTGAATTCCATATATATTATTTATTTCCTCAATGGTGTATTTTGAAGGACCTGCATTGGGATCTGGTCGAAAATAATTTGATTGTTGGGGTTGAAAACCTCTTGAAAAATTTCGTCTATTAATTTGGGAATCTTGTCTTCTTGGTTGAATAGATACACCAGACATAGGTGTCGGTTTTGTTAAGGGAAGGTTATTGTTTGGTTTAAAAACATTTGTTTTGTTGTAATTTTTACCAAACGTACCCGAACTAGTAGGGAATTTATGGGTTATTGCTTTTGTCTGTAAGTTTATTGGTTGTGAAGGAAATTGTGGCTTCACATGGAAATACGGGTTTTGTTGTCTTTGTTGTTGTTGTGTATTGTTTTGTTGGTGTTGAAATGTTTGGTTATTTTTTGTCTTAAAATTCGAAAAGGAATTATTTTGATTGTTGTTAAATTTCATATGATTCTCAGCCATCTGATAGTTTAGTACAAAAGATGTTGCTGCGTCTAATGTTATAGGATTCTGAACCATTAAGATTGTTCTAAGCTCAACTGGTGAATTTGTTATCAAATTCTGTACTGCTGTAACTTCATTTTGAGCTACAAGAATATTTGCAACTGCTAACAAATTACTGTCACACATTATTTTTGAAGTAATTCTGTGATTAAGAGCTTTCAATCTTTCTAAATATTCATAAATTGATTCCTTTTGGTTTCTTGATGCATACATTAATTCTTGAATCAAATTTTGACGAGAATAAGGATCTCCATATTTAATTCTTAGAGCACCCTTAATATTTATCCATGATTTTAAATCTGGACGTGTCATCAAAAAATTTCCAGCATCATTGATAAGCTTTGATTTTATCGCAGTTATTATATATTCTTTTTGGGCAGGATTCCCTACATAATAAGTGTGATAAAATTCATCAATATTACTAATGAAATACTCCAGATATTGAGTTTCGCCACCAAAAGGCTTCAAAAGTTGAACTATGGATTTCAAATTTTCACCCATGTTTCTGTTTTGTCTAGTTGATTGAATATTAAGTCTTAATTGATATAATTGACTTAAGATATTCTTCAGTATCTGATTCAGATTCAGACATAAAAGAAAACTTTAATTAAACAAGTTTTATTTTAGAATTAAAATTAAAATTAAAATAATAGGATTAAAAAATGTTTTATCCAAAAATAAAAAGTAGATTTTCTTGAAAAAAATAGGTTAAAACCTTTGCAAAAGAATTCAAGAAAAATCCAAAAATAACTCTTAAATATGAAACACCAATAACAAAATATTAGGGAAAGGTTTACTTACTAGGCTCGATGCTAATAACAGTAACACTCTCACTATTTATACGTTGGTTCTCAATGTCTCTTATGTCCAGTTAACACCAAGTGAAGTGGACAGGAATTTCCTCAAATTTCACTCCAATGATCACTGTAATCCAGGTTTCACTGCAATCCAATTTTCACTGTAATCCAAGTTATCACTTATAGATTCAGTTCGATTGTCTTTAGTAATTCGCGGGTCACGATCTCGAAATTCGGAAAAACTTGTGCACTCTGAACATCCGGTTTTTTACGAAAAAAACTGTAAAAAATTATCCGCACGACTGCGCCAATTAAGTTTCAAATAAGAAACTTTACTTTTTTAAAAACTTTATTTTAATTAAAAGTAAAAGTAAAGTAACATATGAAGACTGGTGGAACTAGTTGCTGCTGCAAAGCATAAAAGCAAAAGAACCATTGTGCATGGCTGCACCGCTTTTTATAAACAATAAATGCAAGTTAGCAATATTCACTAAAAACGTCAACAATTGTGATGTCATCGTGGGCGAGCAATTAGTATGCTCCTTTAAAGCAATAGATTGATTAACTAATTAACATTAGTTGATATGGGAATCGTTCAATATAACTCACTCAATAAATTTGTTCTTCTCAACATATCAGTTCTATCTGTGTATTTATTACATCCTAAAATAATTCTTAAAGCTTTATTTTGCTTTTTTTGCAGAATATCAATTTCAGACTTATTCATTAGAAATAGTAGTGTTGGACAAAAATATAAGTGTGGTGCTATAATAGTCTTGTATGTTGTTAGTCTTGCCCACACACTTAGCTCTTTTGATACCCGAGCTAGTACATTGGTTTTTTTTACTATCTTATTCGTTATATATTTAATTAGGGTCAGTTTGAAATTCATTTTCAAAAATGTGAAATCAAATTTCGTCTGTGAGAAATTAGTTTTCGTTACTTTGAAATCCATTTTCATCTGAACGAAATTAGATTTCGCTGATGTGAATTTAGTTTTTATTAATTTGAAATCAAATTTCACTAGTTGTGAAATAATCCTGGAAATGGTATAGAAAGTTTTCTTTTTCATTTCCTGAACTATGAATTTTTAAGAAGTAAGAATGCAGAAAATTCTATTTTTAGTTGCTTTATCCGAGAGCCCATATGCAGTTCCTATTTAAATGTCACTGCTTTTAGTCAGTTGAACACGAACATACTTTTTTGTAATATGTATAATAAATTCGAAAAATTTATTTCAATTTATTTCATCTGCAATCTTCATCATATCAATATGTCATTTAAAATTTAAACATTCGTACTGTGTTTTCACTGTTGTAATATAGGTAATGAGTATGTGTAATTTTTCATTCAGTGAAATAAGTGGTTCTGTAAATACAATTTTCCGCCGCACTAAAAACATCATAATATTATCCACGAACGGAATATTCACAGTTTAAGTGGGAAATAAAAACACAATAACCATAACATATTCTTTGTTCCCTTTTACTCTCTTCATGGATGGTTTAGTCCTTGTACCATGATAAAAATAAAATGGAAATATAAATTAGGGCTTTCAAGAAAACAAAGGAAAATGGAGGCCATAGAAATGCTTTTCTTCCGAAAATGATTTTTTTTATTTGTTTAGAATTATTCAATTTGAAAGAAACTTTTATTCCAGGTTTGTTCCTACTTCAAAGATCCTCTGGTCTGTATTGGCCCAGTAGCAACGGACCAAATCAAAAACACAGTGGAACATACCGCCGGGGAGAAGCGAATCACCGGTTTGGCTTTCAAGAGACCCATGATGCACTAAATAATTAAAATAAATATTTAAAAAAAAAAAATAGTTTAGAAGAGAAATACTAATTTTCAAACAAAAACTCTCTACATGTAATAATCATTATTATGAATGTTAATAATCTTCTTATCGGTGTTTCAAAGGAAAATTTGTTGCAGATTGTTTTATTCACCCACGTTTACCTAAAAAAAAGGTGGCTAGAACGTTGGTGAACCAAACACCAAATAGATTAATATGAACTGGAGGACGATATATTTTTTTTCTCAGATCCTGAGATGTTTGCAACAAATTTAATTATTAATTATGATGGAGGTCATATTTAATGACATGTAAAAATTGATAAATAATATTTTATCAAAAATCTATGTTTTAAAACTAAATAATATATTAACATAAGATACATAAGAAACCATTGAAAAAATGGCTGAGGCACTTATCCTATAATATAAAATATTAGTATATATTAATTAAGCTAGATTTTAAGATTTTTTCTGGGCCTATCATAAAATATTAAATATAGGGAAATATCTTACATATCTTAAATTTAGGATGCAGAATACATTAGGCGACTATTTACAGATCTCGGGATTTTACTATTTTTTGTCAAAAGGCTGGGAAATTGTTTATAAGGTAATTAATTTACTCGCGTATATTCTGGATTTAGATTTTTTTATTCCATAAAAAGTATTTAGCTAACTTATTTTCAGCAATCAAGATCGATCCATCAAGTCTATACTTGAAATTTGAGTAGCTAGTTTGCATTGACAATTTGAGTATGAGTACCTACTATGTATAGTGTATAGACTTGTATTTCCATGTCAGTCATAATTAATCCAGGATATAGGTTGATATTTTATAAACAAATATTCCTCAATTTGGACTTGAAAAAATATACCGTCTTACTGTGATGTCAAAAACCAATGAGTTTAGCTACAATGGAAAAAGACACTCATATTCCATAAAAGTTTGTTTTGAACTTGATTTTATAGCTTAACTATATCTATGTAAAAGGAAATAACAACTTCATTACTATTATTTAATTCACTATAAGATCAGCCCAGATTTATAAAAGTTATTTCCCACTTTATATGTGAATTTAATAACAGTAATATACTTTGGAATATGAAGTTCTTCAAACGGAAAGAAGGGCATAAATAGGTAGATAGATCTATGCTATAACTTCCTTTGTTTTATATTTTCAAAAGAAGGAAGTTTTTAAACTTGATACATATCATACGACACATATCATTAAATGTTAATTAATTATTATTAATTATCGAGTTAAAACTAATATAATATATATTTCAATCTATTGATGTTATATTATTGTAAACATGTTATTTCAATAAATGTCTACAAGCAAAGTACCTAATATCACCAATTTTGTTTAATTATCTTCCTTGGCTAAATCAAATATTATGTACTGAGAAAATAACTGCACTAATCATATTTGAATTAAAAACATCTTCACTTCGCGATACAATTATCTGGGTTCTTGAAAGCTTTAAACCTGGTTTCCTTATTGCGATAAGAGGCACTTTAATAACGAAGCAACTCACAACTTCAAATTGTTTACCATGGTAATGGTTATCTGAAACTTTGCCCTTAAATCTACAATACCTAACAAGCAAATTGAAAGTTTCCTTAAATAAATTCTACTTTTCCCATATTTGTATCGGTTAAAGGTTCACCAGATTGTCAAGATCTGGCAGACAGTTCAACAACTGCCTTATTTTATATTAGCAAAGAATATTATAGACTAACGTCTCTAGAAGAACCGTCCGGCGGCGAAAATATAAACCTGCGTGATGGCGCTAGTGTCCTAGTAAAATCAGTCGTTTCTGCGATTAAATTAATTTAAAACACTAAATGCACGCGTATTTGCTAGGCTGCGTTGCCAAGTTGTCTTTTGTATAACAAATTAAATGCCTGTGTTTTATATAGGTACTTTTTATGCATATACCTACTATAGAATAGGAATATTATTATAATTTAAAAAAAAAATAATAAATAGGTAAATAGTTATGTATTTTTGTGGGTAGTAATTTTCTGTTACTAATAAATAGAGGAATAAAGCACAAAAATTGTTTCTGTCTGTCTGTCTGTCTGTGTGTCTACCTATGTCCGTTATAGACTTTGATACTATCCAATCGATGTGCCTCAAACCAGTTTAATGTTTAATATGAAAGGCAATAATAATAAGAAGGTTTTAGACCACTAATGACAGGTGTCAACTGTCAAATTGAGACAGTTGCAGATTGAACCATATCTTCACAACGGATTTTGCTGAAATTTAGCATACACTTCAAGTTCAGGTGATTAGATGATAATACATTTTAGATCACTAATGACAGGTGTCAACTGTCAAATGTGACAGGTGCAGATTTTTGAACCATTATTTCGCAACGGATTTTGCTGAAATTTTGCATACACTTTAAATTCGGATGATAATACATTTTAGACCACTGATGACAGGTGTTAACTGTCAAATGTAACAGATGCAGATTTGTGAACCATTTCTTTGCAATAGATTTTGCTGAAATTTTGCATACAGTTTAAGTTCGGATGATAATACAATTTGGAATACTCAACAGCTGTCAAATGTAATTTTTGACAGCTGTCAAAATATGACAGGTCGAGAGGTGAACAGGTTGTCAGGACTACCCCCGTCATTGAAAATTTGCTTTTTTCGACAAATAGACAAATTTCAAAAATAAATAACCCATAATTTTGCACACCGATTTTCAAAATTTGGGGAGACAAGCATAGGATCTTTTAATTTTTCGACAAACGGGGGGGAAAGTGCAAATTTTTAATGCCTTAATAACTTTCCCCAGAAACGTGCGCAAAATTGGCCAAAGCGAGTAGCATAAGCGCAACTAGGCTCCAAATTTGAGGGGTGTTGCAGCACCATTTTTTGTGGGTTTGTACTTACGTCATCATTTGCCTTTTTTTAAAAAAAATTGATCTTTTCATGTCTGAAATTTCAAACAAACATATAGTTTGTTTCACGGCACGCAAGTTTTTACTTACGTCATCGATGACGTCATAACTTAGTGAAAAAGTTATGTCATAGATTAATTCATGGAGCACCTTCGGAATTATTGTTTCGTAATACATTTTTTAACTTAGAAGAGAATTTATTCAGTTACCCGAAAATATATAAATAAAATTTCTCCTAGAGTGATTTTTCACTGTAAATTTTTGAAATTTTCCTTCTGCCAGTTTTCCAGAAAAAATTTAAAATTAAAAAAATGAATTTTGGTTAAAAGTTAGTTTTCCAGAATTTCTTCTGGAGTGATTTTTTACTGGAAAATTTTGAAATTTTTATACATACATATAATGAACTTCTCACTTTCCTCTGTCTCCTGTAAAAATTTCAAAATTTTTCTTCTGCTAGTTTTCCAAAAAAAAAAAAATGTGAGAGGATGAATTTTCCTTAATTTTACTTGAAAAAGTCGATTTTCCAAGTGATTTCTCACTGGAAAATTTCGAAATTTTCCTATAATGAGCTCCTTATTTTCTTCTTTCTCTTGAAAAAATTTCACAACTTTTGCTTTATTAGTTTTCCAGAAATAAATTGAAATGTGAGAGGATGAATTTTCCTTAATTTTGCTTAAATAAGTCAATTTTCCAGAATTTTTCCTGAAGTGATTTTTTACTGGAAAATTTTGAAATTTTGTTTTAATGAGATCCTCACTTTCCTCTTTTTTCTGAAAAATTTCCACAATTATCCTTTTGCCAGTTTTCTAGAAAAAAAATAAAATGTAAGAAAATGAATTTTGCTTAAAAAAGTCAATTTTTCCTTAGTTATTGCATTTTCGAAAAACTCATAATTTTCGTAATTCCCCCATAACTTTTTCGTAATTTTCCCATAACTTCAAAAATCATAATTTTTTCGTAATTCCCGTAATTTTTTGTACTTATTTTTAATTCTCGTAATTTTTTAAAAAACTTCGTTATTTTTAAATTCTCCCCAAGTTTTGTAATTTTTATAATTTCAAAAATTCGTGATTCCTATAATTTTTGTAATTCTCTTTATTTTTATAATTCCAGTAATTTTTCGTAATTCCTGCAATTTTCCGTAACTTTTTAAAAATTGTGAAAAAGTGAGTGTCAAAATTGCTGGAAAGTGACGTTAGAATAGAAGTAAAAATTACGGAAAAATGAAGTTGGAAATGTTGGAATTAGGCAATCCAACGACCTGTCCAAATGGCGTCTGGTTGGCAAACAATAAACAAAACACATATGTTTTTTTTTTGGCAGGATTAAGCCTAGTACTCATAATTTGCTCTTTTTTGACATTGCATCGACAATTTGACGTTGAAAAAAGAGCGAATTTCGCTTTTATGAGTACCAGGCTTTATCAATACACGGGACTAGTTCTCAAATCTGACACTTTTCTGACATCGTTGACATGTAAAAACCCGTATTCTAACCTCATAAAAATTTCAAAATGCCGGCTGGTTGGCAAAAGTCACGTGGTTTGGATTCCCTAATTGCGAAAAAGTTGAGTAAAAATGGCGGAAAAGCAAGGTTATAATCGAGAAAAAATGAGGTTATAAATACTGTTAAAAATACCTACGTAAAGGTAACTAGTCAACCTGTGCAACGGTAAATCTAATTAGATAATATTCTATTGTTTAAATTTTATTTAGTCACCCTTGCTTGTAAAAAAAAATGATATCGAGAATTGTCAACACGTTGTCAATAAGTCTGTCAATTAATTGTAATTTTTCCATAAAATCATTATAAAAACTCCTACTGTATTTTTAATAAAAGTATTTAAAGGTGCCAGTGTTATCCACTGCATTAAAGAAAACAATAGGTTATGGGCCCAGAGCCACGCAGCAGAAGAAAAAGCTGGAATAAAAAACTGGTAAAATAATAATACCGAAAAATGAGTGAAAGCACTACATTAAAACTCACGGGCACCGAAAATTGGCCAGTATGGAAATTCCAGACAACCATAATATTGAAAGGCAGGGAGCTGTGGTCAGTAGTAGATGGTTCTAGTGAAAAACCACTTACAGCTGGAGAGGAACTCAAAAAATGGCTGAAGGTAGACGCGAAAGCACAAGAACTGATCGTAACAAGGATGGAACAAGGTCCCTTAATGCATTTATTATCGTGCGAAACATCTAAAGATATGTGGAGTAAGTTAAAAACTGTTTTTGACAAAGAATCTGTAGTAAGTGTCCACCTATTACAACAGCGATTTTTTCAGCTAGAATTCAGTAACTGTGAATCAGTAGCCACATTTATTTCACAAATAGAGGAAATAAAAACTAAACTTAAGACAGCAGGGGAATCCTTGTCAGATCAAATGATTATGACAAAAATTTTAATGTCTCTACCAGAGCAGTATAAGCATTTCAGGTCTGCCTGGGAATCTGTTTCAACGGATAGCCAAACGTTGGAGGAATTGACCTCAAGACTACTCCTGGAAGAAGAACGTAGCAAGTCCTCAGAAAATCCAACTGCATTAGCTACCAAAGGTCCTAATAATTCTAAGATACGTTGCCACGTTTGTTCTAAAATGGGCCATCTCGCTAAATATTGCTATTTCCGAAACAAAAATAAAAATTATTACTCTGAGGCAGAGGGTAACAGTCATCAATTTCATAAAAAGGAAAAATTTTGCACACATTGCAAGAAAAAGGGCCACGAAATACAAAATTGTTGGTTCAGAAAAGGAAACAATAAAATAAAACATCAGAAAAAAGAACAGGTGAAAGATGAAGATACAAATGCCTTTATGGTATTTACAAATGAAGCCAAAGCAAATGATTGGTATCTTGACACCGGCGCTAGCGAACACGTGTTGCGATAGAAGATTTTTTGATTCAATAAACGATCTGAAATATAAGAAACAAGTACAAGTAGGAGATGGAAATAAAATAGAAGTTAAAGGAATAGGAAAAATCACTTTATGGGCTTCAAATGGACAGAAATTAATAAGAACTACGTTAGCAAATGTAATGTATGTACCAGATCTAAAGTTCAATTTATTTTCAGCTGGGTGTGCCTTGGATAAGGGGTATTATTTGACCTCGAGCAATAAAAAATGCGAGTTTATCAATAAAACTGGAAAAGTTTGCGCAGTTGCTACTCGTGAAAACAATCTCTATAAAATGCATTTCACCTTAATAGAGGATAAAAATTACATCGCGAATATTTCTATTCAGGAATTGAAGATAAGTGAAAAGAAGGAAGAAAAGAGCTGCCCGGAGGATAATGAACTCCTTGACAATCCAATTGTAGAATGCATGCAGGTAAAAATTATAGAAAATATTAAAGATTGGCACTGTAAGTTAGCTCATCAAAATCTCAGCTATGTGAGGGATTTCCTCAAGAGAAACAGCATTCAGTTTGTTGATTGTGAAAAAGATTTTGTTTGCGAACAATGCTTAGCAGGAAAGCAGCATAGGTCACCTTATAAACTTAGTGAGTCTAGAGCTACTGCACCCTTGGAATTGGTACATGCAGACGTTTGTGGACCAATGGAAACCGTATCTTTAGGAGGTTCTAAGTATTTTTTGCTATTTAAAGATGATTATTCAAATTACAGATACGTTTACTTTATGAAGGCAAAATCTGAAGTGAAAAAGAACATTGGAAATTTCATATCACTTGCTGAAAAAGAGACTGGTTGCAAATTAAACGTCCTAAGGACAGATAATGGACTAGAATTTTTAAATAATGAAGTACGAGAAATGTTAGAAACTCGTGGAATAAAACATCAAAGAACTGTAGTTTACACACCTCAGCAGAACGGGAGAGCTGAAAGAGAAAATCGAACTTTGGTGGAAGCAGCCAGAACTCTATTATATTCAGAAGAAAGATTAAGTAAGATTTTTTGGGCTGAAGCTTTAAACAATGTAAAATATACTTTAAATCGTACTGGACCAAGTCCACAAAAACAAAAATCTCCCTATGAACTGTGGTACAAAAAGAATATCAATTCAGTACAAGTTTTTAAACCATTTGGAATAAAAGTTTCAGTACATGTACCCAAGGAAATTCGTTTGAAATGGGATCCTAAAAACAAAATGGGAATGTTTATGGGATATGATGAGAA